GACTTCTACTTTTCCCAATCCAGAACTTTCCGAACCCTTCCAGAGAAATGACAGACTATTGGTCTCAATGGATATCTCAACAAAATCGATTGTCACTCTGAGAACATCTTCTACGAAAGGTATTTATCGCCATATGAATGTCATATAAACTCTCTCTCTCTCTAGCAACCCCAGGCATATTTAGATGCATTTTTCTTGATTTGAACTCGTTAACAATATATGTATAAAATGTATATAATTATACTAACCTAACCTACCTAATTTCTTTTAATAATAAACAATTGTTAAGTAATTTAGTCTCTGCGTGAGTCCCTTCCCCCTTGCTATCATGCGGTCTCCATCCCGAATTTGTTTGCTCATTCACACAACTGCTTGTGTGACTTACTTTATAATCAAACCGCCATCACGGCTTCTGGGTCAATTGGGACATGGTGGTGTTATTCCTGATGGGGCACCGAGGAGGTGCCGACCCTCCGGTTACATATGTAGTCATTTTTGTGTTTATTAAACATTTTCACTTTGATTCCTAAGCATTTGTGCCCATTATTGGTCTGATAATTGGAGCTCACTGTTATCTGCCTCATGGTTTTTGATAATTTAATTAATACAAAATCTCTGTCTTCAGAGCACTCAAGAGAAATTACAAGCATTGCACTAACATCCTATAGTCTGTTTACTGTAACATGGCTAGGAGAGGTTTGGTTCCCTTTTTTGTCTGCTGGGCAAAATATATCCTTCTGCAGTTTCTCATTCTTGTAATATGTCAGAAGGTAAGAGATTAAAATATTTATTCAGCTGAACAAATAATTAAATTCATCTAATGGATTTTCAATTAAATCCTTTACTTGTATTGCTAATATCAGCCATATTAATTGTGAAAAAGAACAAGAAGGCAGAGCATATTGCTATTCAATCAATCATTGAAAACTTAGTTAATTAGAATACAAAAATGTATATATCTTTTTCTGTATTTGTAAGTTTCATTTATTTAATTACTACCACTGATGATTAATTTTGAAACATATCATTGTTTCTTACGAATTTAAAGTTTTAGAGGAAACTATTTCTCGCGGAAGAGGTGCCCAAGGTTAGAAAAAACAAACTATAGGTACTTCATCAAACTTGAAATAGTTAAGAGTAATAGTTAATTAGAGTACAAAATATAACCACCTCTCTTCCAATTGGAAACTTCTGTTATAAAATATATAAACATCTTAAAATTGCAGCAATACAGAGGTTTAATAACACTATTATTCTTGATTAATTCAACTGGTGGTGAATCAAATCATAAAATATACAGTGTGTCCATAAAGTCTGTGTATAATTTTAAAAATTTATATCTATTAGTATTTCTGATAGAGAAATTATGTAAAATGTATTGGAAATAAGAAAACCTATTATGTACAGCCAGAGCCGTAACTAGGCAGTTGCAACAGGTGCATTCGCACAGGGCCCACTTGGAAGGGGTGCCCAAACTGCAGTTCACAAGAAATTATAGTTTTAAATCTTAAATTTTTCCTCCTTTTTATTGGCAATTACATTTTGCCTTATTTAAACCCTAGATGTCTGCTCACCAATGTTCCCAACCGTGGCGACTTTTAGAGGGACGTAGTGAGATAGCGGAGACCTCAGACAAATCAGCCAAAAGTAGCGACTTTTGAAATTTTGTTTGTTTATTTTTTGAGAAATTTAAATTTATGTTTATAGTTTTCAAATTTATAGATTTTTTTCTCTATAGAGCTCTCTGGCAACGACTAATATTATTATGATATACAAAACTGTATTTCTAGATTTATCTACAGTGTGCAGAGCTAGAAATCTGTAAAGGTAACATTTTGTAAGAAAAATAAATCTGCCCGGGGATTTTTTTAATTGCTAAATTGCTAAATAGAAAACGTGGTAACTCTCGAATAAAATCTTAGTCTCGAGGTTGTAAAAGGCGTGCAGAAATTCTGACATAACTTTTTGCTTTATAGTGGTACGCATATGTGTTGTATACCTCAACGGCGGATTAAGCGGTAAGCGAACTATGCGGCCGAGTAGGGCCTCGAAGGGGCCCCCGAGGTCTTTAAAATGCTACTGAAAAAAGGCTGATTTTTGCTTTCTCTATGGCTCTTCTTTACAATACATGAGTGTTGCTGATTTAAAAAAAATCAGCTGCAGATCTCGCTATTAAATATAGCAAAGATTTAAAAAAGTACGAATTCACAAGTGAAATTGAAAGTTTTAAGTTTGAAGTAACGACTCTTATACAAAATATAGAAACTGCATCTCCGCTTAATATTCTACAGGCTCTTCATGACTTTGGTTTGAGTCTTACCCAAATATTAATGTTGCTCTTCAAATATTTCTAACTCTTCCCGTTTCTATTGCTTTGTGCAAGAGAAGTTTTAGCAAGTTAAAATTAATAAAAAATTATTTATGATCAACTATCGGGCAAGAACGAATGTCCAATATTTCTATTATTTCAATAGAATACATTATCATTAAAAATATTAATTATGATCATGTAATTAATGAATTTGCCGAAACAAAAGCCAGAAAAGTTCAACTAAAATAAATCTTATTAAAAATCTATTGTAATATATTTGTTTTATTATTTTTCCAAACCAAATAAATTAAGGGGCCTAAATGCAAATTCTTGCACAGGGCACAGGAATGGCTAGTTACGGCTCTGTGTACAGCAACAGTAGATTTCAGTTCAGTCAACTAAAGGACACAGTTTACTTTTTCTTCAGTTGAAGCCATGTGTCTCTCACAATTTCAAAAAAGAAGTACTTTTAGTTTTGAAAAATTGTTAAATTATTGTGGAGAGTTACTAAATAATTTTACTTAAAACTGGGTACATTAAACTCTAATGCTTTTTACAGATTTTTTTCTAACACACATACTTTTAAAGTTAAATTTTTTAAATTGCACATGGACTTTATGGACACCCTGTATAATTTGCTGCATCCCTCTAAGTATGTGATCTACCTTTGGAATAGCTCAGTTACTGTGTTCCATTCTTTGGGAGCTGAAGTTAACACATGCATACAATAATTCAAATTTCTTTATGATGATGTGATGTTTCTATTGTTGAACAACATCTGTGTTTGAAGTTGATGATTGCTACTGATGTAGCAAAAAATACTCTTTAAGCTAATCTATACTAATATTATAAATATTGAAAATTTGGATGTAGGAGGTAATCTCTGAAACTACTCATCCGATTTCAAAAATTCTTTCACCAATATTTAGAATGGAACTTTACAGTGGACATAGGCTGTATATTATTCTGTTAAACATTCATATAAATTTAAAAGATACCATTTAGGATTAAGGCTTTTATGTCTAACAGATGGTGCTAACTCCACGAGTACAACGACCTAAGTTTGCTTTTCTGTGAGGATGAACTAAAACAGACATCTATCTATATAAATAAAAATGTAATGTTTGTTTGTTCCTACCAATTTCTTTGAAATTTTGACACCACGTTGCATTTGAATACGCAGGCACTGTAAAGGGATTTTTTGAAAAATTCTTCCCCACAGGGAGTACATTTATAATAGATAATTATAATAGTAATTAATATATATAGTAATTAATAAAGTTAATTCCAAGTTTTAAGTACTTATGTATTTGTTATTACTATTTCATCCAGTGTGTGTGTGTGTTTTTATCAAAGTTTTGTAGTCTATTAAGTCTTAACACATAATAAAACCTTTAATTTCAAATTTTTTCATAAATCAAATTGGATTGTTGGTCCTGGTGAATACTTTATGTAATATGATGTATTTCTCCATTTATTAAGTCAAACTATTGTAATTGTACCAAAAAATACCCTCAACATTAGTGTAAATCACATACAACACCTTATTTTGTCAAGGAAATGTTTTTGGCTTATTCTACAAACCATCTTCAAGCCATCATCAAGAAATTCAGTTAAAATTGTACTGTTTGAAATTCTGTCCAAATTTCACATTCTAATTTATTTTAACAAATTAAATATGAATAAAAGAACACACAACAATGGAAACACCATACAAAATCAAATAATGATAAATGATGAAACACAAAATATTAATACAATAAATATGTAAATTTACAAGTAATCAATGAGAAGCCTAATATGAAAAAATTACTTCCTTGATGGAAGGACAATCTATAAATTAGTACGTCTTGGTTTTTTCTCCACAATGTATTTCTAATGTTGATGACAATCCTTCCTTTGTAAATGGATACTTTGTCTGTTTTTTATTTTATGTTGTAATTTTTCTGCTAATGACAAATAAACTGTAAAGAAAAATTAAATGGAAAGAATCTATATGATGATTCATTTTTTTAGTTTATGCTGAGAGAGGAAACAGTCAGACATTAAGCTTGTCTTCCTGGATGATGAAAGGTAGGCATAATGTTGACTGGGAATGTAAAGCAGCATCAGCAAAAGCTAATGTGGCAATTTATTGAAGATCAAACTTTTTAAGGAAAAATGTTAAGGCAAGGTGATTGTTGTGAAATGTGTCAGAAAATTCAATACTGCTGGTAAGATGTCTCTCTAATTACTCATACATAGAAATGGATAATGTAAATTAAAAATTGCTATTCTAATTTTTCTGTAAGGAATATATAATTTAGATAACACCATCTAGAAATAGAAATGGGTAAACGTTATAAGTTTTTAAAAAAAAGCGTTAAAAGTTTACAATGTCATTCCTAAACAGTCTTAGTAGTGCAATTGATACTGTTTTGCTTTGCCACATCAGAATCAAAAATCTGATTTTTATTTCACTAGCATTGGCAGTAATGTTATATTTTAGTCTACATTTTTGATGTAAGTACTTTAGCTTATACTTAATAATAATTAATTTTATTTGCTACTTTTATTTCAATAAGATTTTGAAACTTAACCAGGTTCTTAATTGCCAAAAGTCTGATTACTGTTTATAAAATTGGATAAAATCTCTGATTCTAACAAGCTTTTCTAACAAGCTCACATCAGTTGTGTTTACTTTTTTTAGACGCAGTCCCATTTCTGTGGCAGCGGCGGCCATCTACATGGCAAGTCAGGCATCTGAAGATAAGAAGACTCAAAAAGGTAGTTATTCATTCCCTCAAATTAAGAAAAACAGACAAAAACAAAGTTTTTTTGTATTTTTAATTCTTTAGAAATTGGTGACATTGCTGGAGTGGCTGATGTTACCATTCGTCAGTCTTACAAACTGATGTACCCCAGGGCAGCCGAACTCTTCCCTGAAGACTTCAGATTCCACACACCCATTGAACAGTTGCCTCAAGCGTGAGACCTGTTCTATATGTATACATACATATATTTATATATAGAAGTCGCGTTGTGTCATTTCCAGACACATCTGTTACTTTATTCTATGAAATTTTCTAATAAATTTTCAATACAACAGGTAGATTGATTTGTGTCTGGGATGAGAAAACCTGTTTTTTTTTCAAGAGGCAGAATGTCTAATTTGTCCCAAACTGTGAACAACGATTATCAAAGTTGTGGCAACGTACATTGTATGCAACTATTTGAACAGCACATTGTACAGCACATTGCAATTTTTTATGCACTCTTGTTTCAGATTAGTTTCCTCTAGGTGTTTTTCTGAGGGCTGTGTATGACTGGTTGCATATAGCTATGATTAACCAGCAAATGATGATATAGTATTTAAGCTTAGTATTGGATAGCTTCATATAGTATTTACCGACACTCCATATGATGTCATGCTTGATTGAAGACAAAGTGAAAACAAACATGGCTCTGCTCTAAGAAAAAGTGCAATGGTTAATAAAAACAAAATGAAAAATATGAACATTCCAGATCTCTTAGATTACAGAGGTCAGTGAGTTATATTTACGTGTAGTTTTTATGCCTGATTTGGCACTATTTTAGTATGCTTTGACTCAACAGTGCATTGTGTGGAAGCATTGTTTGCCTAGTGCAGATTTTGTGTGGAAGCATTGTTTGCATAGCTAAGTGCAAAACAAACTATTTTTGTTTTGCACTTAGCTAAATTAACCACTTGTTCCCCGAATTTTTGTTTAAGAATTTTTAATTAAACATAAGAAATACTTAAAACTGAAAAAAACAAAAGAAATGCGTTAAATTTTGAAGAAAAAGCTTCAAACTTTATTTTCCATTGTCTTGCTTTTCTGCAAAATTTGATACCGATGAATCATTGTGTTTACAGCTGGATGACCTCGAGAACAGCTGGTGTTGGATTTCCCGGACATTCTCAGACGTCTCAGGAGCATAAGGGTTTAAAGTAGGGTGAATACTAGCTGGTCATATATTTTTAAATATTTTTTAAAACTTACATTTTTATTGCGATTTCCGACCCCCCCCGATNCTCCTTTGTCTCGAAATTGGGTCACTGACCACCCACATTCAGACGAAAGTTCCAGAAAGTATAGAAACAGAACAAAGAGAAAGGGGAATAGAATATTCTTATATATACATATAAAAATAAAAACAACAAAATATACTGGTGTACCACCACACAGCCTTGTGTAGTGATGTGTAATGACTTAAGAATTATTGATGGTTTCATGCAACTATTCATGATGCTTCAGTTATTATGTCCGGTCATAGTTTCGCTTTAATTAGAATTGGTAGTTACATAGTTGGATGATTGATTTACAATACAAAAATTTATCAGTATCTGACACTAGTCAATTATATCTCCAACAACAATCTACTGTCATATATGCAGAACTGTTAGGTTTACACAAGTAACAGGTTGGAGTTAGCAACATTCTACAATATAAAAGAGAATACATGCAATAGTTTCACACACATACAATAATTTGATTTTATAGTCAGATAAATTTTTATTTGTAGATAAAGAGAAAAAAAAAATGTTGAATTTGAGTGTTTTGCTGAAAAATAATGCCACAAGTATTTGAGTAAGTTTAAGATAAAGGTACAATATAAGGGCTGTTGACAATGGAAAATAAAATGAAAAATAAATGGGCAAAGACTGTTCACTCTGAACATCTGTTCCTCAGTTTGGTTTGATTTTCAGTCTATCAAATATTTTTGGAACAGAAGTCTGAAATGCCCATTTGCCAACTGGCATAATAAAGTTTGCAATGATTGCTTAAGGCCTAGGAAAAAGGTCTATTAAAGTTTAAGTTAAGATTTGGACATTTGAGTTTTTGACAGCAATAAATGTTTTTAGTTTTGCATCTTTTCTCTTCTTACAGTTGTTTCAAAAACAAAGTTTGCTAATTCTGTAAGAGCTATCTTGTTTTATAATATACTGTTTATAAAGAATTTAAAAATAATGTTTTTAACTGAGAAATTAAATATTTGTTGAAAGAAAGTTCAAGGTCAGTTTGGAATCTCTTACAAATAATCAGATAAAGCTAACTTGTAAGTCAAAAGTTATGCATTAAATATATGAAAGATTATCATAAAATAGGATTTATTATAAAATAAAAATAAGTATTCATTATTTGCATTTTATGATTTAATAAAATTCTTTTAAAGCAACTCAAATCTTTTATTTTTACAGAAATGTTTACAGCTTTCTTAAAACTATCATCAGCTATAAAAAAAGTGGAATAGCTACACACTTAAAAATAAATACATCTTTTTGAAATTCATATATTAAAATGTGTGTGCATAAACATTATCTTTTTACATATCCTAAAAATTTAAAGTCTATTTTCAAATATATAACTGTTTCATTTTTAAATAGCTGATGAGAGCTACAATAAAGCTCAAACTGTTTCTATAAGAATAAAAATGTTTGATTGCCTTAATGAAGACTTATATTAATAGGTTTGAAATCTTTTAAAGCAATATGGATCTGTATGGAAATAAAATATTAAATTATAAAATACATTAAAAATTAAATACCATATTTACTTGAATATAAGACGACCTTGCATACATGATGAGATGCAAGTTTAAAGATCAAAATAAAGAAAATTAGATTTGTTAATACAATTCTAATTTTATTTCATTTAATCACAAGTAAAATATCAAATGAACATAAATGCATACACATTGTCCTGCAAAAATTACTGGCATTTAAGGAAAAATCTTGTAAAATCGATAACATAATTTGTTCATGTAAAGCTGGACAATTGGAAACTTTTTTTTTTTTGCCAATTCTTAACAGTTGAATCCACTCTCCATCGATTACACTTATGAATTTCTCTGAATTACAATTTATGAATAATCATCTGTTTCCACGTGGGAATGGATTAAAACTTAAATCATGCTCCCATGTGATTTTAGAATTTCAATCTGGAATTCAATTCAAAAGCTTTGCTTTTCCTATTGCTATTCATCTTTACTCCTGACAATATACAAGAATGATTCAAACAACCTAGATAAAACACTCATGTTTTTAAATACAAGAGAGTAAGCATCTGGTAAAAAAAATGCAAATACATGGTTCACAAAAATTATTTGCAAAATGCAAAGAATTGTTTGCTCATGCATATAGGATAACCTAGGAATTTGAAGCTGTGATAAATGAATAAAAACCTTGTCTTATATGCGAGTAAATATGGTAATTGTAAAAATTCATCTCAAATTAATTTAAATATTATTGAAATTAGTGGAAAAACTCAAAATTAATTGTGAATTTAAGACAATTAAATGAAACAGTATTAAAATAGTTTTGTATTATTTTCATACCATATTACTTCAAACTGAAATTTTTAAAATTGTTGATATTTTTGATTATTAAATAAAGCAGTTTTTTTTAGTTTATTTAGTTCTATATTGTCCTCAAACATTTGAAATGGAAGAACAAAGGAATGATAAATTGTAATGATAAATCAGAAAGTGGAGATGATTATCTGATTCTACAAGAAAGATAAAAGATGGATGATACAGGCTGATGAACAAGGGAGGATTCAAGAAGACTCAGCAAGAGAGTGGAAGGATAGCCATACATAGTAAAGGCAATAAGAACAAGTAGCAAGAATGGTTCAGATTACCAATACACTCATGAGCTTATGGTAAGTAAAACAAATTTTTTAGTAGTGCTAATAATGATTCTTATCATACAAATATCTTGTTAATTAACACTCCAAAAGTCTTTAACCCTTTGCTTCAGAAAGTACTGATCAATCGTTATCCCTCATTGTTAAGCAAACTTTGAGGGTAACGATAAATTGTTACTCTAGTAAAAATCGATTTTTATAAAATTTATTGACAACAGATGTCAGCACTTGATGGCACTGTCTTGTCTATCGTCTGTTTTACATATTTTTCTCCAGGTGGTGTTTTGTTGACTTAAAAAATTTTAATTAATGCTTTTTTTTCTTGATTTATTTATTTTCTAATAATTTTTTATTTCATTTTTAGNGATGTGTTTGTGCCTATACGTCACTTTGCAGCCAAAACTACACATCGCAAATAAATGGTGTTTGTGTGTGGTAGTAGCCCCAAGTCTCCCATTGTGCACTATGGTGGTTGTGTCTCGATAGCTATAAGGGTGTGAGAGATATGGGGTTTGAAAGAGGTTGACTTCAAAAATGTGTAACACTTCAATGAGAATGTTCCAGTTTTTTCTAGAAAGTTCCAGAACCTAGAGGTGAAATTTGGTACACAGTTAGGGTACGTCATGAAAATGCTAAGAAGGGATTTTTCGAAATTCCTCCACGAGGAGGAGAGGGAGAGCATTAAGGGTTAACCTGAAGAACGGCTTCTACTGTACTATTTTAGATGCAAATTTTTTGTTTTTCAACTACGTTTAGTCTTCATTGAGTACTTAGAGATATTATATTGATAACATTTCAGACATTGTTATAAATATTTTTTATATATTTCGATTTTTTAACCAAATGTTCGAACCGTTTTAAATTCGAATTTCTTTTTATTAATACATATTGGTTTGATTATAGAACAATTGTAAACGTTCCAGAAAATCTATCAAATTAAAAACAGTTCGTTTGATTCTCAGCAATTCTCATCACTCTCAGCAGTAGGTTTTAAATAACAATTACTATGGTTGTTGAAATATTGAATGTAAATAGGATTTGCTTGCAAAATCTGTGTGAGCAAAGCCACGGGTAAACAGCTAGTTTTCTATAAAAAGCATGACATTTAGAATAAATTTTGGACACTGGGAGATTTTATCAAAAACCAGGACTGTCTCAGAAATGGGAACCTAATTTAATCAAAATTTTTAGCCTATTGCATCAAAATTACTGCTCTAATAAAACTTTTATAAAATTAGTAAAATTTATAAACTAAATAAATTTTCCATCTTGATGACATTTTTATCAATTTTATTTGATTCCAAAACCACTCTTAACTTCCTCTCTTTACCTACTCAGTTCTTAGCTTTGCAGCAGTCACTCCTGTTTTGCCACTAGATTTGACTAACTAGCACAGGTGCACTTATGTTGAAGGTCACAGCTAAGGCAGACGGACTATACCTATGGAAAATCTGTGAAACTCTGCAGACAACTTTATGGGGTGATTTAAGG